CACACACACAGAGGGGAGGGAGGCGGGGAGAGAGAGAGAAATACCGCTGTTCCTATCAAAGTTAAAATATTTCATCTGGAAATGCTTTTCCTACTACCGAATAAATTGATTGACTTCATTTGAATTATAATGTAGATAGTAATTTTTAAATTAGACAACCATTAGTCGTTTAATTGACATCGGTTATCTAGATAAAGTTTTTTTTCTTTTGAGAGAGGGAGAGAGAGAGAGAGATCATTACCACCATTGATGAAACTTATGTTCAGAGGGCGACAAAACAATTATTATCTAATATTTAGGTGTAATGGTGTGGTGTGTGCTACTTATGTAGATATAAGTAGTATATGACGTGTCTGGCGGCAGAGAGATAAGAAGATCGAACAATAAAGAATGAAGACAGAAGGCAATTTGTATGAAAATGCAAGAACAAGGGGATTCTGAGTGATTTGAAACAATTGATGAACAATTTGCAAATTAACGATTCAATATATGGTTGTTTGATTTTACTAACTAGTTCTGTTTTATTCACTACAATGGTAGTGAATGGAAACAAGCGGAGATAAATCTTTGTAATTGAATAATAAATTATAGAATTTCTTGATGATTCATACGGTGAATATTTTGTGATGGTGGAAAAGATTTGTAGCTCAGTTAGATGATTTCGATAGGATTTTGTCGTAGAGTTTTCATTGTTCTTCTGAACGACATCATCAGACTTCCATCTGAAGTTTGTGCTGATGATGTTGTTCAGAAGAATGATGAAATCTGCACGACCAAACCATCCAGCTCAGAGTACAAAACTTCATTTGCATATCTTCCATTATTTATTCTTCGCATTCTGTATGATTCTTCCAGTTCATAATTCTTTTCTAGTTTCTCTTCTATTCACTTCAACTCGATCTTCTTAGCCTTCTTCGGTCAGGTTTTCCACTTCCGATTGGTGTGACCTACTACTTATGTTTATCGACTTAAGTAGCTTGCACCACAAACGTATGACTTTACATTTTTCTATGTGTATTCTTTTCCAAGTGATAACATGTTTCTGAATTAGCATTATTATATTGTTTGTAAAGTTAAGGCAAGTGAAGATGAAACATTTTTATGATTTAAGTCCATAACCCCGATCAATTTCGATCTTGCTTTTTCTAAGTGTATTTTATTCTGTTGGATATGTGAAGCTTAAATTAAGATACACTTCGAAACACTAACAAATGTTCACTCTTTAAATCATCCCTGTTACTTCAATCTTATCTTTCTACTTGTTTCCTTTTTGATCTTGTAATTATCTATCTCATTATGTTTCATTTTGTCGCTTATCACAACACTTTTACGTTCAGTCTTGCATATTTTAGGTTTGTCAACTGTTAACAAAGTGTTACAGATTCAATAACATCACTTATGTAAAAAATTTGGTAAACAATGTTATCTGATTACATAAAGGAACTTCATTTATAACTATGGGCAAATGATTAGAAAACTTGATTTTCAACTTCCACCATCACTAAGACACCAACTAGTAAGCTGTGATGAAGTCCTATACAGCTATTATTAATACCACGGCAAGTTGGTGTTACAAGATGGTGACATTAGTTAAATTATTGTTACTAAACCTGGAAATACACTACAAAGCCCCAGTGTTAACAACATGGTGTCATAACTGGATTTCTGCAGTGGTTAGATATAAAGAAGGGTCAAATAAATTTACCTCACATATTAGGTTTTTACTAGGACAGTGTAGAACTCCTCTTAACGACACATTTTAGGTCAAATATTTTACTACCAGACTTATCATGATGGCACTAAATTTCGTAAAGATTGACTCAAGACGTTCTCCCGATCATCATATGCAGGTCAATCTCATCCATCAGCATTAATAGTTTTTCTCAAATCCAAAAATAGTTTATCACAAATGGTGGTTCCAGTCACTGTCACAGGATCAGTACTTTGTATTTCGAAAGTGTAAGTACATATAATACTTAAAGGGACTAACTGCCAACTGAATGATGGTCATTTGGATGACTTGTGCATCGTTGCACAGTAGTTAATTGTCATCCCTATACTTGAAGTCGGGAGTCTTTGTCCAAAAGACAGATCTACACAACCATCGCATAGCTATCTCTAGAATGTCACCGATGGCAAAGTTGGTGGTGAATAGTCATTATTATTCAATCTTACCTAACTCCACTGTTCCAATGAAACAATGTTGGAAAGTAGTTATGTTCCCATCGTGTTTGTGTACACAACCTCAAAAATGCTGATAAAATTCTCAAGAAAACATCATTCCTTAACAGATAATTAAATAGCAAAGAGCCAATCAACTAGAGGCAGCTATGAACTCAAAAACCACAATGGTTGTTTGTCTGCGACAAGTGTAGTGGCGTTCCAGGATTCGGCGGACGATGAAGCTGTAGTCGATGTATGAAGGACCTGGACGAAAAGCAGTTTACCTCTCAAGAGCCAGCTCTTCCTGAATTTTGTACAATCTGTGAAGCATTATGAAGCCCAATGACCCGGAAGCGATCAAGAGTAGCCAATTTCGCAGCGAGGAATGTGCTTTTTTAGAGTTGCTTTTAACCACTGATTTTATGAAAGGTTCGATCTCAGATGAATAATAACTGAATGAACACCTTTCTATTTTCAGGTCTGTAAACTTTATTCTGTATTCGGAAATATATCTTTAATCGTTTTAAGAAAGAAATATAGTATGTGGAGACATTCACGCGGCACTTCTATAATGTGGCATAGTTTACGGAAGATTTCACTAAAATCATTTCAAACGTATAATAAACCTCATGCGTTCTCGATTCAGAAACACATCATCTTTTATAATGATCATCTCAAACGCTGGTAAAGGTTGATTCCAAGATAATTCTGTGTCAAACTCAATGAACAACAGTAGTAAGGTTAAACTATCAGCCGCAAAATTGTATACCAAATGATGGTATAGAGCATATTTGATTTCTGACAACTGATTGTGAATATAAAAGCCCGTATTACTGCGCTCAAATCTAGGTTCAGTAAAGGATTAACAAATGGGGGATTGTTATTACTTCACTTTATAACGTTCAATTTTAGGGAGACATTAATCAATAAATGATTTCTTGCAAGAGATTCCTATCCATTGATCAGAGAGTATCGCTTGTTATTTCAACTAGATGTATGGGATTTTGTAAACTGTAAATATGATTAATATTGCATGCAATGGCGATTTATCAAATCTGATCATATTTTCAGTAGAATTATTAGTCATTAAATCATGTATGAACACGATTGGATCAATATTTAATAAATATATTTAATCAAAGAAAATAGCATTTTCAGCATGGGGTTGTGGAGATGGTTGGATTTTGTTGGAATCGTGAACTGAAGTCCTGGAAGCACTGAACGGCCATTTCGTGCCAGCGTGGGGCTCTTCAGCAGTGCAAATCAATGATTGCGCACGCGAGGATCGAACTCAGGAGTTTCCATTTCGCACGAACGCTTGACTTTTGAACCAGTAAGCCGGCATCCGACGGTGTTAATGTTTAACTCCAATTAATATACGATATTCCACGACCATCATCCACTGTTTTCGGTTGGTAATTGCCTCACACCCGACACGGTTGAATGCACTTAAAACTATACTATTATGTATTTTTTCCGTATATAGTAGTCTAATATTGATCGGTTCATGATTTCGATGAAATATTATTTATTCTTAAATAATCATTACAAGACAAGACGGTTTCATTTACATATTAACCTGGGTGAACATTTTATTAGAAAACTTATACGAATCATCCACCGTTTACTTACTGCCTCTTGAGAGAATTTGCAATGTTTCTTGACCTCAGATATCTTACTGCATATATGACACCTTGACACAAAAAAACGTTATCATGTGGACAGATAAATTTAACGTGATATTGATGACTTAAACTAAATGTTCAATCTATGACTTTTAGTCAGTTTTAATCCACTGTTAATAGTACTTGAAGCAGTCTTGAATTATATACATTTCATTTATAGAGTACTTGTACGGTAGCAGCTAGTCATATGTATACTCGGCTAGTCATTTCGTCATCATTTGGTATTCTTTGTGGTAGGAATCATGTGCAATCTTAATCCAACCTATTCACACGCACGTTGAGTTATTCTACAGACAAGTAATATACAAAAAGATTTCCCACTTTTATCATAACGTTTGGGATACGACGATTTAAAATATAAAACAGAGCAAGTGTTCAAAAATAAATCAAATGTGTAGGTGTAATCTAAACTCACACTTTAAACGGACATCTTTTTGAAACAAGCATCATCCAATCAAGATTGCATAAACGCTGGCTTGACGAGTGTTTACAAACACGGAACATGGTTACGGAGCTTTATAGCAATTGCTTCCAACTAAGTAACAAGACAGTGCCTTTTTAAACAATAGTGATCTATCTGGGACACAACGGTTGCGGCACGGATACTTCCCACTAATACAACAATTATACAGACAAACTAGCTAGTATTATTTATAACATGTCATTTAATTTGGTAGAGTATACAGGTAGAAGCATTCTTTACGAGGATGCAGTTTATCAAAACATGTTGAGTATGAAATAAAAGAATGGTCCCAAAACAACCATTGGGACTAACTTCAGCAAGGTATAATCCTTAAGATTATCAGTTTCTTAGAAACACCCGGAAATATTTGATCGACATGCTATGAAGAGGCCTCAGTTGAATCTTGCTAGTTCCTGTAAGTAGTGCTTCTATAAGAAGGAACGTAATATCAGTCTTTCGTTTATATTTGTCCCAAGCGACAAAGATACGCGAGAGCTAATGTTCAATCTACATTCATATGATTACAGATCAACAGTTGCACATTTACATCTTCAGCATACATACAGAAGGATGCTAATACAGAGAACCGTACATATCATAAATAATATATATGGACATCAAAAGTATATTAATAGATTATAAAAGACAAGAATATAAATCGAACAAGTGGTAGGTATGAAAATCGAGTTTCAGAAATATTCCAATGCATCACTTTCCTTTTTATCTTTAACGACAGAGTGTAGTTGAAGTTCTTTGCCATGACAGGGTAGTGGTTCGAAAATTCGGGCGTGAATATACTCGCCATCATCTATTTTCACCTGCAAATGTTCGGTAAACGGAAACCCTAAACGTTACCTTGACGAAGTGATTTGTTCCTGCGACTACCTGACTAGTGATCTGGACGATTTCAAATGAACGAGGTTTTCGTCCGATATGGGACTCCAACTTACTTTCTAACTGAGAATATTAAGCGGAATATGTAAAACCTTACCAGAGTTTTAAGTTTTTCTTTCTCCTCTGTAGACGGCTCTCTAGGTGTTCCGATCCCACCGCAGCATAAAGGCATTCTACTGATGAGTGCACGAAAAAAGCGTAAAGCCCAATCGAAGTCACCCGCCGTCCCGTGATAACGACCTTGAACCCAGTTGTGAGGATTTGTGTGGTTAAGACAGAAGGCCTACAGCCTATGTTATTTCTTTTCTAGTATTCTTCTGTGAGTGTCCAGTCTTCTCTTGAATGACTCAAGTGAAGGTGTGGACACTACTGCTTCGGGTAACAGGTTCCAAGTAATGATGACTCGGTGAGAAAACCCTTATTTTATTCGTTCTAGGCTTTTCTACTCGCCTGCTATGTCCTCTGAGATGTCCCGATCTAGTGGGAAGAAAAATAGAGGGTATATTAGGTCCGAAATCATTTCTTAATTATCTATGCACCAAAATCAGATCACTTCGTAATCTGCGATAGGAGAGTAAAGAGGTCCAGCTTTTCAAGCCGCTCTTTGTATGATAAACTCTGGAATTCTGGTGTTGCACGGACAGCTGCCCTCTGTACTTTTTCCAGGATATCCGAGTGACTTTTTAAACAGGGGATTGCAGCCTGAACGCTGTTCTTAAGATTAGTTCTCACTAAGGTTGTGTACACTGCAGTCAACATGGCAGTATCTAACTTAGTTAATTCCCGTTTTAAAGCCCACGGTTTTCTGAACCTTTTAGTTGCGACCTACCAGCAATGACTCGCCGTCTTAAGATCATGACTTACTGTCACCCCATGATCCTTATAAGACCGGACTATGGTTACTGGCACTTCCTCTATATTGTACCTATTAACCTTCTCATCACCAAATTGCTTGTAGACACACTTTTCCACGTTTGTAGGCACCAGCCACTCTTTAGACCGGTTAAGGCTACCTCAGCATATCAAACCTGATAAGTCCAGTAGTTCTGATAATATTCATCCTAGGATCATGAAAGCCATATCAGATGTAATTACTGAACCTTTAGCGATACTGTTTGACATGTCTCTGAAGCGAACCAGACTGCCCAGAGACTGGAAAGACGCTATAACAAGTCCGGTGTATTAGGCTGGGAGTAAAGATTTGGTTAGTAATTATAGAACCGTTAGCTTAACTAGTGCAGTTGTAAAACTGATGGAAAAAATCATTCGGATATCTGTTATAAACTATGTTGAAAGGCATAATCTTCTCTCCGGGGAACAACATGGTTTTCGGAGAGGCCTATTGTGCTTGACAAATCTTCTCATTGCAACAGAACATTCGGCTGCTGCAAAAGATCAGAATATTCCTGTAGATGTGATCTTCATAGATCTAAGTAAGGCTTTCAATAAGGTCTCCCATTCTGGTCTTAAGTTCAAACTGGAACGCTTCGGAATCCATTATACAGTCGTAGATTGGGTAAGTAACTTTCTCCATGACAGGAAACAAAGGGTGAGGGTTAATGGGGCTCTTTCCTCGTGGATACCTGTAAAAAATGGAGTTCCGCAAGGCACAATCCTCGGTCCTCTCCTCTTTTTACTTTATGTAAACGAGTTACCAACTGTAGCAAAATCATCCGTTCTACTATTCGCTGATGACATAAAAATTTGGAGACCCATACACAATATGTCGGATAGAATAGTATTACAGAATGATCTTAGCCCATTGGTGGCATGGTTAGACAGGTGGTCACTTGAAGTAATTTTTAATAAGAGTGTGGTGATGCAATTAAATAATAATGATGAATCGTATCACTTTACAATACGTGGGTTCGTACTACCCAAAGTAAGAAACTATAAAGATTTGGGAGTCATATTAATTAAAGACCTCAAAACCACTAGTCACTGTAAGGCTGCTACTGCGAAATGCTATAAAGTATTATGGTCTATTCGTAGGTCTTTTTAGTATTTAGATGATGAAATATTTAGATTACTATACCCTATTTATGTGCGACCACATTTAGAATATGGAATTCAAGCAGCGAGTCCTTGTTTTAAATATGAAGCAGATATGCTAGAGCGAGTCCAACGACGAGGTTCTAAGATGGTACAAGGTCTATCTGGACTGTCTTATGAAGACAGATTGAGACACCTCAACTTATTTCCGTTATCTTACCGTCGAATACGGGGTGATCTAATATTGGCTTATCGTATACTGAACGATGACCTTGGTATTAACATGTCCTATCTTTTACTTCCGTCTAGGACCGATCGTTTGAGAGGACAATCGAAAAAATTCAAAAACCGAGATCAAATCGTTTACGTCTGGAGTTTCGTTTCTCTCTTCGAGTAGTGAATTATTGGAATTCTCTACCGGAACACGTAATATCAGCACCTTCTGTTGATATATTCAAGACGAGATTGGACCTCCAGAGTATTACAAACTGCAAGGATTAATACAGGTCGATAGACCTCCTATCCTTATTACTGGAGACTGAATCACATTATTTAGGTCTTTCTAAAGTTCGCATGCATCTGTGTCGATTACTCGTCAAAGTTTTACATCGTTAGCGTATGATAACATTGGGGACTGTATTACACTTGAGAGATTATTTACATACATTGTTAAAAGTAACGAACCTAAAACGGAACCTTAAGGTACCTCACTAAGTACTGGTCTCCGTTTGGAGCACCTGGAATTTATTCTTACTTTCTGTCTAAGACCTACTAGGAAATCTTTAAGCCATTTTAAAAATGGTCCGGCAATATCAAGATTTTCCAGCTTCAATAGCAGTCTATTTGTTGGCACCTTGTCAACTACCTTACCGAAGTCTATGTAGACAACATCCATTGAGTTTCCGTTGTCTAGCGCCTTTATCCAATATTCCCATGCTATAAGAAGGTCAGTTATACAAGACAAACCCTTCTGAAACCATGTTGTCCGCTGTTTACCGGGCTATTGGTCTCTTCAAATGTCATTTTGGTTTGTTCGACTATTCTTTTTAATATTTTAACTGCAAAATTGGTGAGTCTGACAGGTCTGTAGTTCAATGGAAGTCGTTCTTGATTTTGTTTTATGTTTGGGAATGACGATTGCGTACTTTCAGTCTACAGGTAACACACTTTTTTCAAGTGACATATTGAATATCACAGTCAGTGGGGCTGCGATATATTATGCAATGCGTCCCGAGGTTTTTTTAGTGTACGTTATCTCGTTCTGTTGACTTTTCCATGTTCAAGGTGCTAAGAGCCTTGAGTACATCGTCTTGATCACAGTCCACAGTGAGCAGGTGGATTGCTAACTCTGTATTTGGGTCTGCGCTTTTTTCTAGAAGATAGTTCCGAGTGAAAACTGCCTTAAAATAGCTAGCCATAGCCTCTGCTTTTTCCTGATATTCCCGGTCATTTCAGATTCACTTCCTTCTTTAATTAGGTTGAGAATCCCATGATGCATCCTTGTTCTGCAATTTATGTACGAGAATATTCTCTTAGTCTGCTTGAGTACAGATTGTGCCAACGGCATTTCATATTTTCTCAGAGGTTCCCGAATTTTAATTATACACGTGTTTCTTACCGATCTGTAACGTTCCTTCGTACCTGCTGTTCCAAGGCTGATAGCGATATTCCATCATCTCTTCTTTTGCCTTAGTAAATATCGGATATCCCGTCCTATCCAGGGATAGCCGTGCTTCTTCTTTGGAACTGTCCAGGGTATGGTTGAGTTATTCGATCGTATAACCACCTCAAACAAGTCCGCGCCTCTTGTACTGATGCCCGTGAGTCAATTTCCCCATTTTCAATCGATTGCATCCATATCTGACTCCGTATATTAGGACAGAACGGAGCAACAGCTTGATGGGCAATCTCAGCCATGAAGTTGAATAATATGACTGCATGATCACCTCTCCCTAGTGGTGGGAGAGTTAGTTAGATGCACGTTGGATTATATGGTTTCTAGGTGTTATGATGTTTAACAAATCTAGTACAGCGAATAAATCGCAAGATATTTTTGAAGGACAATTACTGACATTTCACTCCTCCATAGTGTAGAATTAGCAAAACATTAAGATACGAACGATCTTTGATTTGTGAGCATTGATTGGTTAGACTTATAGCTATAATTGTGCAATTGCAATTAGTTGAGGATTTCTGCGCATCTCATAGTGAGATTTACTCCAACGGCTATTTCAGCCAGCTGATCTAATTTCTCACTAAAATAGACTACATTTTGTCTTGATTTTTTCTAATTAACTCGATATTTAAGAGGGATTATTGTGCAAAACTTCACCGCTTATGTTGAAAACTTGGGCATATACACAAAACAACGTACTACCAAATGTAATGAAATAACATCATATAAATGTGACATGTCTATGTTAATACTCTGAAAACGAGGAGTAAAGAAATAGAAAACCTCAAAAAGAACAGCTCTCGTCGAACGACATTAAATATAACGTTTCTTTCACGATATACAACATTCAAGGGTACTTTTTGTTTGAATACTCCATCCAATAATAACTATAACGACAGAGTCAAACATCAATTTAAATGGATCGTTCTTTGAAAGTACAAACGAGAAACTTTGAAATTTGTTCTTTCACACCTCCTTCTAGATCTGAAGTATGTCGATTTTGGTATTCTTCTTTTTTTTAAAGGTACGTTTCAACAATTATCAACGAAGATGCTGTCAAAAACAACTCGAGGGTTTATTCGCTCCCACAAATCGGGCGTACAGAGAGCTAGGACATCCTTTGGTCGTTGATGCAACACTTTTGATCAAAAGTACTCTTGGGTACATTCCTCAACGTCCTGTAAGTGATATTTGATACACCTGCTAATACTACGCTGACCGTATTCAGTCCCGTATAATCACTAAAATTTTTATGATCCTGATAAGAGCTGAAGGCCTGAAACCGTGTTTACGTGGTCAAATTAATCTGTGACAAAACAATTTATCCTGGTAATCATTTTAAATAAGACCATTAATGCCAAAGAACGCAAGGAACAGATGGTAAGACTAACGGCATAGCATGAAAGCCATAAATATAACTGTCATGTAAAAATAGACATCCATATCACTCAGCATACTTTAAATGGCATCACAAAAGTGCGTCTGGTTGTCGAAAAGTAAAGTTA